TAAATCTTTTAAAAAATATATATTTAAATATTCACATTAAATATATATTTATTTAACTTTGTAAAAGAGTTGGGGTGTAGGCCAGAGATGCAGGGGGTGAGAGGATTTACCAGAGACAGAGTGGGGAGCAGAACAGGTGAGTCTACTGAAGTACACTACTGAGGGGAGCAGCAGGCGAAACAGGAGAGGTCTGCTGCGCTGTGTGGGTCAGCTCCCTGGCCAGGGATTGAACTCAAGCTGGAGTGGTGATAGCGCTGAAACTGAACCCCTAGCTCACCAAGGAGGCCTGATTATTAGCTTTAAAAGCTAGGGTACAGTTGTCTTTCAGTCGTGGTGGGAGACTGGTTTCATGACCACAATCTGCAGATACTCAAGACCTTATGTAAAGTGGTGGGAGTACCTGTGCAAAACCCACACACATCTTCCATTTATTTTCAACCTTTTCTATATTACTTATACTAGCTAAGACAGTGTAAATGCTATGCTAATAGTTATTATGCTGTATACTTTAGGGAATAAAGATTTTTAAAAAACACATGCTTGTTCAGTACAGATTCGGCTGTTGTAGCCAAGCGACATAGTGTTTTTGATGTGAGGTTGGCTGAGTCCGCGGATGTGTGGCAGCCGGGTTTGGAGGGCCAACGGCATATGGAAATCTTTGTACCTTCCTTTCAGTTTTGTTGTAAACCTAAAGCTGTTCTAAAAAAGCAAAGTAGTTTTTAGCAAGTTTAAAGAAAGGTAGGTGGTCCTGTGGGAAATGGTGTCAAAAACTTGATTATACATGTAGAGTTATTTGTGTTATTAGATTGTTTCTCTTTTTCAGTGGTAATAAACCCACTTCTATTTTCTCCTAAGAAAATCTCAGGTACATGCTTTTTATTCTGCATGATGATGAAATAAAGACCTGATACTTTATCCTCCAAAATACTAATGGGTTTTCTGAATATGTAATTTTAAAGATATTACCACTCATGTATTTTTTCCCTTATGAATCACACATTGAACCATGGAATTGTGAGATTTTTGCCTTATCATTTCCCTAAATCGGCTGCCATAATAGGAGCAAATATTAGGCAGGCATTTCCATTCCCTCTGAATTTCATTTGTTCTTTATTCTAGCATATGTATTAAGAAATTGAGATTTCTAAAAAAGATGGGTTGTTTTTGCAGGCTTATGTGAACAAAAAGTAACCTAGTTTTTGAGATTAGTTTAGAATTATAAGCTCATTTAAAACACCCATTTTAATCTTTTGCTTTCTGCTGAAAACTACAAAGGACCGTTTCTTATTCTTCATTTAATTTTTTATTTATCCAACAAACACGCAACGAATGCCCACGACATGCAACGCCTCAGTGCCAAGCCCTGGGAATAAAATACTGAACCCCATTCAGTGGTCTTCCACAAGATGTCTCTGCAGACCTGTGGCCAGAGAGTCACCATAGGACCTAGCAGATGCCACTAGGGTGTTAAGAACAAAGGACTGGTCCTACAGAAACAGGACCCAGCCAGAAGAGACCAGGGTAGCTTTCAAAGAGCAGGTAATGGGAAGAGATGTAAGAGTTGACTAGGAGAAAAAGAGGTAAACACTTTGCAGTCAGCGCTTCCAACACACACGAAGGTGGGGAGGGGTGAGAGGGCCTTGCGGGGGTTGGGGGGTGGGGGGGGGGGGGCATCAGAAAATTGGCCAGGGAGGCCAGAAAGCTTGGCTGGGTAAGACCGTGAAGGCCTCACAGGACATGCTATGATCAGTGAATACATTATTTAGGAATTTCAGCTCATCTAGATGCTATTTAATTGATTAGCTTTGGGCGTCGTGAAAGTAAAGTAACGGATGTGACCCTGTGGGAACATGGCATGACGAGGGATGTTAACCTCTGCTGGCAGTTTCAAATATGTCCCCTGGCCACAAGGGGAAAGAGAAGGGAGCTGCATCACTGCAGCTGGATACAGGTCCAGCAATCCCAGCACTGTGTGGGGGCCGGGGCTGGCCCTGTCTGGCGCATCCCAGCTGCCCTCCTGACTCGCTCCTCGAGTCCCCAGAGTGTAACTAGGAGAGCACTTAGCTGGTCCAGACTGTCATGCTGCTCACTCTTGGCCTCCCCTCCAGTCTTTTTTTTTTTTTTAAAGATTTATTTATTTATTCTTACAGAACGGGGTACAGGCCAGAGATGTGGAGGGTGAGAGGCTTCACCAGAGACAGAGTGGGGAGCAGAACAGGCAGATGGACGAAGTACACTGCTGAGGGGAGCAGCAGGCGGTCAGGAGAGGTCTGCCGTGCTACGTGGTCGCCACCAGGGAGGGCCTCAGTCTACACTAATCTTTCTCCTCTCTTGAAGTGACTCTTCTGTCCCAGCACTCCTGAGCGCAGGGAGCCTCCCCCAGCACACCTGCCCCTCCCCTCTCCCATGGCAGCACCCCACCAGCCTTGCCCCTGGGCTCCTCACAGGCCTCGTGGCCTGGCTCTCACCTCTCTTTTTTCAAGACAATAGCCAGAAAAAAATTAAGACTAAGTCAAATCCTGCCTCTCTGCAGTTCTCTTTTTATTACCTTCCTCTCGCAATGTAAACGAAAATCCCGTGTGGCTCACAGGGCCTGTTGTTTAGTCTCTGCCCTCTGTTCCTGCCCCATTTGTATCGCTCTCTCGCTCAGTACATCCAGCCATAATGGTCTTTTCTTTTTTAAGATTTATTTATGCATACAAGAACTGGGGTACAGGCCAGGGGTGCGGTGGGTGAGAGGATTCACCAGAGACAGAGTGGGGAGCAGAACAGGCAGATGGACTGAAAGACACTGCTGAGGGGAGCAGCAGGGAGACAGGAGAGGTCTGCTGTGCCCTGCGGGTCAGCTCCTGGCCGGGGAGTTGACCTCGTGCTGCGGTGGCTGCAGACAGCTTGACAGTGCTGCACTTTAACTCCTGCGCCACCAGCGAGGCCCTACAGTTGCCTTTTCTCATTTCTCCTACTTGCTACCCCACGGTCTTGGAACATGCTGTTTCCATTGCCCAGAATGCTCTCGTTCCCGTGCCACAGTGGTCAGGCCGTGGCCTCACACCTTGCCCCTTCAGAGAGCTCTCACCTTCGTCATTCTGCTCTGCAAGAGGATTCCTCCGGCTCTTACAAGCTCCTGTGCCCCCTGTTGCACATGCCACGGTGTGTCTTGTGCGTGTGTTACAGCTGAGCCTTGTGGGGACCGGCTCCCCACTGCACAGACAATCCCCAGGGACCGGGATAAGGTGTGTTGTTTTCCCCTCTTGATTTCCAGAGCTTAACACAGTTCTTTGCACACAATCCTGAAGAGTTCTAAAAGGATCTTTAAAACACATGAAAGTAGACTGACATTTTTAGTTTCTAAATCTTTATCTAAACAGAAGGAAAAGCACAGACAGTTGAGAAAATTATTTTCTATGTTTTTTCAAAACCACTGGACCAACTTTGAGAAAGGCACACAGGCCCCTTCTGGTGGAGCAGCGGTTTGGGACGCTGCCCTGCGAGCCAGCCACAGCCTCTTCCGTGCCAGTTTGACTCCCGGCCCCGGGGTGACCCACATGGCGCAGCAGGCCTCTCCTGTCTCCCTGCTGCTCCCCTCAGCAGTGTACTTTCTCGATCTGCCTGTTCTGCTCCCCACTCTGTCTCTGGTGAATCCTCTCACCCCCTGTACCTCTGGCATGCACCCCAGTTCTGTATGCACAAATAAATAAATCTTTAAAAAAGAAGAAGAAAGGCACACAGCTCAGTATTAACCTCATTCACAGGATGCAAGTTCTCCAAAATTAGCATGTGGTTGCTGTATAAGGGAGGCTGTTTTTCAAACAGCAAAGAGTCATATTTAAGTGGAAATCCTGAGTTATAAAAATCATCTCTTCTTTTTATACATGTAGGGTCCAGTTCACTAAAATGTTAAAATCCTTGGCTCTACACTTTAAGCCTACCACAAAGATCACATTAGAATTCATTTTAATAGACATTGTAAGCACAGTATCCAATCTCATATGATCATGCTGGGCTCTTTTATTATGAGACTCACACGAAGCAGAGCCAGAGGCTAAGGAACAGTCATGGGGTGCACCCAAGACTGGGGCTTGTGCCAGCTCTATTGTTGATGGAATATTCTCTCCACCTTTATCTGTGGTGTGCAATTGGTATTGACTTTTGAGAAACTACTTCTTTGCCCTTCTCTCCCAGTTGGAAGAAAGCCCCCACCATATGACATCGGCTAGGAAAAAAAGGATCAAAGAAGCATAAGGAAAGAAAAATTATGAGACCTTGCTTAATAAGTCATTTTGGGCCAGTCTGTTAGATCTGTTAGAAGGGAGAGTATTGTACCTTTTCGAAGCCAACATTCCTTCATCCCCTGATAAAGCTCGGCGAACACAGTAGTAACACTGGGTGTCATATTTGTTATTACTAGTGTGGGTCTGCTTAGCATTTTGCCAAATGTCTTCAAAGGTCTTTAGATACTTACTGTTCACCAAAATTTGGATTAAAAATTTGGTGACAACATTTATCGATTTTCATTTTGGTTTTGTTTCTTTCTTAAAGGGGAAAAAAGTCATTATTGACAAATTATCCTCCTCCTCCCCTGCCCTCTAACTTGCAGGTATATTACTCGAGGAGTTCTTAAACATTGTAAGGAAAAAGAAGGAAGCCCAACTATTTTGGAATGAGACAAGACACATCTTCTCAGCGTTTGACAGGCACTGTAAGTGTCTTTTAAGCATTTTGATATAAAATATGCCATTGAAGAACTGGGAATGGGAAAATATATTTAGTAAATCAGATTATCTGGATATCTTGGAGATTCCTTTACTGTTTTCATTAGCTATTATCTTAGAGGGTAGTTTAAACTTTTTGGTCTCTCACTGTATTACATTCTTGACATTTACCCTGGATGAAATAATGCTTCAAGTCACATAACTGTACTTAGAATTTTCAACCTTGTAATGGGGATAGCAGAAGGACTTGCCATGTGGGGTGGCAGGACAGGAATCACTGAGAGAAGTGGGGAGACCCTGTATCCAGACCCCTTGCTTGGTGGCACACGTGGCTGGGCCGTGGCTCAAAAGAGTGTCTTCCTCTATCCCATAGGCCACACGCAGGACAAAACGACTCCCGGAGCCCCCACACAGTGCCTTGGCTGTTGTGATTTCCCTCCAAATATTAATATATCAACACTGTAATAAGCAAGGAAAGAGAGGTGGATTTTGAAGTAAAGCTGGGCTGGCAGCTTGCAAAGACTCAGAACCTGACCCCATTATTGCCGGTCCTGTCCCCGGGAGTCGGAGAATCTGCAAATGACAGGGCCGGGAGTAACCTTGGAGATGGGCTGGACAGTGCTGGGGGAGGGTGTAACAAGGCTCTTCGGTTCTTGCAGTGATACTAGCTCCATCGCCTGAGAGGGCAGCTATGAACGCCTGCCCTGCCCCTAATGGCTTATTAGAAGTTCATGCACACATGATTGGCCAGAAATGCACTTCCTAGGGTTTATGGAACTAAGTGGATGTCTCATATTTCATTCTCAAATAGATCAAGGGTATTTAACTTTGGAGGATTTCCAAAAAGCGTTTCGGCTGGTGGCTCCCAGGTTACCAGAAAGAAGTGTTCTGGATGTTTTCAGGTAAGACACCAAATCTTTGTATGTACCAACCCTTGATTTATCATTGGCTCTTACAAGTTTTCACTCTTAGAGGAGATCACTTCTTTATCATGGTTTGTCACCTAAGAACATTTTCATCTCACAGCATAATGTCATGATCCAGGTGAGAAATTTATAGTTTGCTATTAATAATCCATCCACACCCTTGACAGTGGCCTTGAAAGTGTGTGGTGTGCTTGCACACCAGCGGGGAAAGAGGAGCAGGAAGATGTAGAATGTCTTCCTATATTTATGTATTGACCAAATAAAAAATGAAGGCTTATCCATGTTCAGCACGACGCCGGTGTCCTCCTGTGGCCTCCATCCCATCAGACACACATCGCTTCAGGAGTTGTCGGAGGGAAGAGTGGGGGTGGCTGGGAGGTGGACTCCGTGTGCATTTTCTTTCAGAGTTGACCTGATGAAGATGACTTCAAGGGGGTAGTATGGAGGTTTTTTAAAGTAATCCTATCAAAAGAGCAAGTGGCTTAAAAGCACTTTCAGTGAGGATACCGCCGGGACGATAAGTATGAATAGCACAGACACCTGCTAAATTACAAAAATGGGAGCGTGGACTCCTGTCCAACCGTGAGCGTGAACTCTTCAGTGGCCTGGCACTGGTGTACTGACTAGGGTATAGCAGCAAGAGCCAGAAAACCCAGGTGGCGAGCTCGGGAAGAAGTCCTGCCCTTGTCCCACACATAAGCGTGGGCAGTCTGGGCTCAGTTGATGGCAACATCAGCTGCCTCCTTTCTGTTGCAGCCACTTTAACGCTGACTTCTTCCTCTTGCTTCAGTTTCAGCCATCACATGGGAGCTCCTAGAGGCAAAGAAAGGATAATATCGCCCCTCCTTTTAAAGCTCCCATTATTTTTACTGATACCCAGTGATAAAAATGGGTTCCAAGGTCATGTGTGTGAGGGGTGGGGCTGTGGGGGCTTGGGCTGGAAAATATGGTCTTTGCACAAGGCGTCAGGTGGCCTCTGATAGTTTCTGACATTGAGGAAGAAGCGGAGGTGTGGAGAAGGAGGATACCTGGCAGTGTTCCCTTTTGGGATAAAAGTAAAGTAACACAGCCTGACATAGAGCCAGCCCTGCACAGTAGAAATCATCAATCAGGTTATTCAAAAAAAGGATTTGCACTCACTGTCATTAACTCACTAACATTAACTGTCACGACTGTGAACAGCTACTCTGCATCATTCGTTCCCAAGCAAGTGACTGAGCAAGCAGGGAAGCTAACGCCAGGTGCCTCCCTGCAGGGTGCCAAGACTGCACTGGGCGGCTGGTGCTATAAAAGCAACTTGCTTCAAGTATTGCGGCACCTGCCCTTTGCTTTTCGATAGCGAGTGATGAGTGCCAGTGTGTTCCTGCTGCATGGCTGTTTGTTGCCGTTTTCCTTTCACAAAGAGACAAGGAGCCAAACTCACTGACCTCTGTGTGTTACGAGGTCTTTGTAGATATAACCTCAGAAAATACACTTCAACATAACCCTTCAGGGTAGAAGCAGTGTGAACATGAGTGCGATCGTAACGGCTTCTCCAAAGACCCCTATGCTACGGGGAGAGCATTTTTGAGAACGGACGTTTCGAAATGTGATTGTTTGAAAACAGGATCGTGCCAGTCACGTCTTAAAACTCCTCTCGTCCTCAGGCTTAATAAATTCGAACTGGAATGACCTACCTCGGTGGAAACAAACTCTGCCAAGTTTCAGTGGTTTAGGATACAGTTTTAAGAACTATAAAAATTCAATAGCTTTAATAAGCTTTCAAGAGCAACGAGTATCGAGGAAGATGGGCGCTTATGAGCTGACCTTCAGTTAGTGATAACCAAATAAAGCCCAAAAAGCCCTAGACCGTTTCCTTGGTGAAGAGTGGGATTAAAAACCAGGGAACTCCGTGCCAGAGATGGTTCCCTGTTTAAAAGCAGACATCTTCATGAGGTGTTTCTGGCAGCTATGAAAGCAGTTTGAAACAAACTGAACTTTAAAGTGCTCAGTCAGGGACCTCCCTGGTGGCAACAAGGAGTTGAACACAGCAGTATGAAGCTCTCACCAGCCACTGCAGCACAGAGTTCGATCCCCGGCCGGGGAGCTGACCCACAGGGTGCAGCAGACCTCTCCTGTCCCACTCGCTGTTCCCCTCAGCAGTGTGTTTCAGTAGATATGCCTGTTTTGTTCCTCACTCTGTCTCTAATGAATCCTCAAACTCCCATACTCTGGCCTGTACCCCAGTTCTCGTATGCATAAATAAATAAATCTTAAAAAAAAAAAAAAGGGCTCAGTCACTAAGGATTAAACTGAGACTCAGTGATAATAAAGAATAATAAATCCTGTTCTTGTCAAATATTATTAATAATTTCTACTGGCAGTGAAAAGTCACTTCCCACTAATAAGGGAAATATTTGTATTTTCAATTCATGACAATTTCTAAATAATGTCTGATAATGTACATCATATATTAATATAGTAGTACATATGCAAATAACATATAAATAAACATATTCCTATACCCACATAACTTGTACTTCCTAGGACTGTATGATCAAAGCAGTTTGGAGACCACTAAAATATACAGCCAGGCAAGGCGTTTTAGTTAATTAAACATGCCCTGTTTAAACTCCCATTTGTATTATTATTTATAGCATCTCAATCCCTAAACCAGAATAAATGATGCATAATAACTCAAATGAAGTTTTAAGACCAAAAAAGGAGAGAAAAAGATTCCTTCTAAGTGTAATTTGAAGTAGGACAGAGCATCAGAGGTAACTGAGCCTGCAGTGCTGAGCCGTGCCCACGGTTTTCACCACCAAAGGAGAGAAAGTCGGGGGCTGAGGTTGATAGTGATACAAAATTAGTGATGTTAGATGTAACATTAGGTAGGGTTAGACACTCCCTTTTTGAGAAGCCTCCGTAGAGCTTGATTTATTTTTTATTTTTAAAAAAATTTATGTGTACAGAATTGGGGTGCAGGCCAGAGGGGCAGGGGCAGTGAGAGGCTTCACCAGAGACAGAGTGGGGAGCAGAACAGGCTGACTGACGATGTACACTGCTGAGGGGAGCAGCGGGTGGATCAGAAGAAGTCTGCAGCACCATGTGGGTCACCTCTGGGGCAGGGATCAAATGCACATTGAAGCTGCGGCAGCTGGCTTGCAGTGATGCATTCTAGCCCAGTGTACCAACAGGGAGGGCCCAGTGCTTGATTTAATCAACCAACTTGAGTGGAGTTTATTATCCAGCTCCACAGTTACCCTTTAGAAAGCTCCTATCTGAAGACCTTTATAAAAGGCCAACTGAAGAGGGAGGAATTGGATTAGACCAGAGTCACCTGTGGTTTGAAGGACCCAAGGGGCTTTCATATTTTCACTCACTGCCAGACTCTTTCCAAAGAACGGGTAAAGATCGAGTCGTCCCTCTCAGAAGCACTTGCCCATGCTAGTCTTCCATTTTGTGAGCCAAACCACCCGAGCAACCACAACAGCAACTCAAGCCGCCAAAACACCTCAAAACAGCGGAACTGGGCATGAGGCCTCAAAGCATCGTTTCGTTTTACAACTTGATGGAAAAACACTGAAGTATTGCTCATTCGATCTGGGGCATTAGGAGAACAAAGTGAGACATCTTTAGAAGGCTGTGACTTGCCGCCAGCTGTAGTGGTGTCATCATGAGTAAGAGCCGTGGTGTTTTTACAGGAATGCATTGTCGGGCTTCATGACACTCACCTTCTATTTTGTGATCATAAGCTCTCTGTGTTTCAGTCTTGGTTGAGAGTTAAATGCATCCGGAGCTCACCTCCAGGCCTGGTGCCATAGTTTCTGCTTATTTGAAATGTGTCCGACAAGAAGCCTATTCCCCCCAGCTTGTCTCCCATATTCAAACCTGTTTATCTGGGTCACTGTCCCTGAGGAAAATAGATGATGGGTCGCAGACACTCTCTGAGCGTGGTGGTTCTGCCCCTCCTGGGAGTCCCTTGAATGCTTTTGTTCATGTGTGTTGTACTTGGTGCTTTCTTCGCCCTGCCTCTTAATCTCTCCTCAGCAATGTCCATTCTCCTTTGTGTTGTGTCCAATGTGACTTGTTTTTTCCTGTCATGCTTTCATTTATTCCTTGAGCTCTCTGTGCTGATGTCTCATATCCTTTTGTTATTTTGCTGTATCTTGGAGTTTTATAGTATCTCTTGGCCTTTGGATCTACATCCCACTCTTGTTTCATAGAGTGGGAGCACCAGCAAGCACAGGGTACACGGATACTGAAGAGCCCGGAGCCTTCTGTGGACTTTTTGGGCTCGAATGCTCTTAGGGAACCAGGTACCCAGGCGCACCGGGTGGGGAGGCTGCAGGCAGGGAGACAGGCCCAGGATAGGCTGGGGTCTGGGAGGCAGGCAGGCAGGCAGGCAGGCAGGCAACCGAATGGTCATGCACTTTCTCTGGCCTTTCTCTAGCATTCTCTTTTGTCCCGTGGCCTCTTCTGTATTCACATCCCTTATCCACCTCTTACTGCCACTGCTACTTATTTATTTTATTTATTTTTTATCTTTAAAGATTTATTTCTTTGTGCATACAGAGCTGGGGTACAGGCCAGAGGCTCAGGGGTGGTGAGAGGCTTCACCAGAGACAGAGCTGGGAGCAGAAAAACAGGCAGATCCATAAAGCACACTGCTGAGGGGAGCAGCGGGTGGGTCAGGAGAGGTCTGCCGCGCCATGTGGTCACCTCCCGGGCAGGCGGGAATCGAACTCATGTGGAAGTGGCTTTAGTTTCTCAGTGCTGTGCTTTAACCCGCTGCGCCACCAGGGAGGGCCTGCTGCTGCTACTTTAAACCCACCCTCTAGGCTCAGGTGTACACACTGACCTGTGTGCCCACACCGGCGCCAGGTGTCCACAGTCAGATGCACGTGCCCACGCCTTCTCCGTTAACGTGATCAAGGCTGCAGGTGTTAGCCACAGAAGTTAGTGGCTCACAGAGCAGGATTAATGCATTTACCTTA